TAATCATTGGTACATTTTAGGTATACAATATAATGACATTCATCATTGGAAATTTGCACCTTTACATAGTCTCTCTTGGTTCTTATTATTTTCCTTTTTATTAAACCAGCGTGCAGACAGAGTGTGGCATGTGGTTCACAGGCCATAGTACCGGATTTGAGCTCTCCAAAAAAAAAAAGTTTCAGGGAAGCTGCTGGTTTATGACCAGGAACTCAGAGTATCAATTTATTAGATTATTAATAAGAAAATAAAATGTTATTCTATTAAGGTACAAAAGGTTGGTGAGGACAAATAAGGGAAAAAGGAAAACCTGAGGTAGAAAGACTATTGATACATAATTATTGGAATTAACCAGTATCTATCACTGACAGAAAGAATCATGCTTCTTGAAATTAATAGTGGATAGATATATATATAATTTTATATAGTGCTTGGTGTTTTAAGGTATTCATAACAGTATCTTATATCTGGACTATTTAGACATGATCACATTACAAATCTATAATTATACAGTCAAATTGTAACTGAAAAAGGAAAGTAATCACACTGGGCCATCTGTTCACCTTTTGATTTCTGCTGTCATTTTCATATGCCATAACTTTCTCATGGCATTTTTCACTTCTGCATTCCGCAGTGTGTAGATGATGGGGTTGAGAAATGGGGTCCCAATGGTATAAAACACGGCCACCATCTTGTCCATGGGGAAGGTAGTCTTGGGGCGTGCGTAGATGAATATACAGGGGCCGAAGAATAAGATAACAACAGTGATGTGAGAAGAGCAAGTGGAGAGAGCCTTCTTTCTTCCTTCTGCATTGTGGTTTCGCAGTGAATGGAGGATGACAAAGTATGAGATCATCAGGAAAACAAAACTGCTTGAGCAGATGACCCCACTGTTCAACCCCACCAGCAGGTTGACTGTGTGTGTGTCCATGCAAGCGAGTTTCAACAAGGGCTGCAGATCACAGCAGTAGTGGTCAATGAGATTGGGTCCACAGAAGGGCAGCCTCAAGGTCAAGATGATCTGAGCTGTGGAGTGTATGAAAGACCCTACCCAGGCAAGGACAATCGAGAGGAGACACACTTGCCTGCTCATGATGCTTGGGTAACGCAAGGGCTTACAGATGGCTACATAGCGATCAATGGCCATGAGAATGAGGACGGAGATCTCCAGGCTACCAAAGAAATGCAGCATGAAGACTTGGGTCATGCACTCATTGTAAGATGTGACTTTCCTGGCAGAAAAAGCATCTACAAGCAGTCTAGGGGCTGTGGATGTTGAGAAGCAGGAGTCAGCAAAGGACAGATGGAACAGGAAGAAGTACATGGGGCTCCCTAGAGTCTGGCAGCACTTGATGGTCACCATGATGAGCAGGTTCCCCACCACCGTCCCCACATAGAAAATCGAGAAGATCAAGAACACTATTTTCTGCCTCAGAGGGTCCTGGGTCAATCCTAAGAGTATAAACTCAGTTACGTTGTTATGTAGTGGCATTGTTTCAATTGATTTTGGGAAATCACAGGTTGGAAACCCTTAACCTGCCAAGGAAAAGAGAAAAAAATATAAAATGAATTCTAAATTTAGGGACAGAATACATACATATTCTCTATCAGGAAACTGCGACTTCCTAGCAGGATATCACCCATCAATCTATGTTGCTTTTCCGAAAAATATGGAATTTATGCCACTTATTTAATACATTTATCACATTACACATGAAAATAATGAAAGAGAAAATGCTTCTTCAAACAAAGTGAAGGATTATTATTATTAATAATTGCATTAATAATAATTAATAATAATTGCATTATTTAGGGTTTTGGCCTAAGTAGTAGATACTTTATGAATTGTATGTTTTTCCTTAGTTTGAAGCAATGACCTGTTGATGTTAATTAGAGGCTTTTGCATTATTTGAGCTCAGTAGCTTCTCATGCCAGAGAAAGAGAGAGAGAGAGACAGAGACAGAGAGACAGAGACAGAAAAAAATAAGGAACATACAATTTTAACAATGAAGCAATGAAGAACACTCTAGTCATTCCAGGTCAGAATAAGACTTATTTTAATCTCTTGCCTTTGTGTAAATTTAATTCAAACTGATCTCTCAAAACTTTCTAGTTCGAGTGCTAAATTTACCCTCTATTACTAAAGATTTTACTTTTCATTATACTATGCAATCCAAAATTGTGTTCCTGATATTATATACTGAGTCTTTCCACAATGGCTTAGAAAAAGACACTAAAACTAACATAAATAATAAAAGGGAGATCAATTGACTTACTTCAACACACTCACTCAGATTTCATCCTTCCAGGTGAGGATTGGGATTTAGAAAATGATCTTGGGATTCTTCAGGCATAATTGATAATTCTAATGGAATTCTAAGTACAATATTTGGTATTTCATACCCTGAATTCACAGAAGAGGAGCCAGATATAAAAACAGAATTAATAATTACTTGTATTTGTTAAATAGTAACTAAATGTTCTTATTTAACTTATAATATATCTATTTTCCTAATAACATATCAAAACCCAAATATGTGCCTAAATGGTACAATAGATTCATAACATATACACCAGACAACAGTATAATTTCTTTTAATAAACATCAGTTTCACACTCATAGACACAGCAGAATTAAAAATGGATAAATAGTTCATTAAAGGCTCTTATTAAAAAGTGTAAACTTGAAAAAGCTCAATTTCATTAACAGTTAAATACATTCAAATTAAATTCCAGTTGATTATCCTTATACCCATCAGATTAATAAAATAATCTTTTGACAACTGTATTTCAACACAGGGTCCTGACAAATGTGGGAGAATCAGTCAATTCCCCATCTGTTCGGTGACGGTTTAAGTGTTTGCAATTTCTTAGGGAGTGATTTCAAAGCCTGTGGGACAGGACCCACAAGTGGAAATTGATCCCGATTCCACTCCCAGGGATAGAGCTGCACAGGCTCACAAACACTGGTATTTGTGAAACAGGCAGCGATTGCACCTCCCATCAAGTGAATTAAGGAATCAAGAAGGGCACTTTTATACAAATATTAATCACCATGAAACGTATCTGCCTCTCTGCCAGTGATGGCGAAACTTTCAGAGACCAATGTTCAAACTGCAACCCCAAAACCACTTGTTTACTGCAAAGAGCCAACACGGCAATTAAACCCGAATATCCGATGTTTGGCCTGTGGGGCGACTTGGCTCATGCGCAGAAAGGGCTCTGCCTGTCCCCTGCGGTATGAGTGCGGTAGGTTCAACTCCACCGCTCTATGCCATCTCCAAAATAGGGAATCGTGTCTCTTTTCTGAATAAAATGGAATAAATAATGATGATTCCACTAATGTATGTTGTCTCTGAAATATATTGTCTCTAACATATGCGGTAAATTTAAATTGTCCCTATCATATGTTATAAATTGTAATTCAAGATTCCATTTATATTTGCTTAGGATCGCAAAGTTTTCATTAGCAGAATATAAAGAAAATACATTGAGAGGACTTTTGAAAAGTATAATGTATTATTGTCGTTCAAAATGGGAGGAAAACATTCACTTTGGCAATATTTAAAAATGTGTTACAATTAAGATGTGTTATGTACATACACAAATTCCCCATGATGAATGTGATCATTATGTACTGAAAACATGTACTAATAAAATAAAATTTTAAAATGTAAACCTTACCTTGGGAGATTGCTATTCATATTGGCATAATACTGAGCCATCGTGACTTCCTGAGCCATCGTGACACAATGGACAGTGGCATTTTTAAGACTATTTGTGGAACTCAGTGCTCTTTAAATACCTCTGGCAGCACCACAGTGCTATTACATACAGGTGCATTTGCTTAATCAGATCCTTTCCAAGTGTATTATTTGTGGAAGCTCTTTAACAAGTGAAATAAAAAATTATTTTTGAACCAATGGATTGAATAGTACAATATATCTGTATTTTCTATCTAGATATAGATACAAATCTGTATTTATATGAACAACAGATGTAGACAGGTAAACATCCTGATACATTTGTGTAGCACACATAAGTTATAGATATGAATTATGGGTATAAGAATTGTATGTACTAGCATGAAGTCACATCACAGAATTATAAGATTTTCTAAAGATTCAAATCAGTTATGGCCCATACCATTCTATACTTAGTTGTCACTGAGGAAAACAAAGGTCTGCAGCCCTGTATGCACATCACACCTTCATCAATCAAGTCTTGAAATTCCCAATAGATACTCTTTCTGTTTGATTATATCTTCCACTTCCATGTATCAATCAATAGCCATGTCTAGTAGCGTCCATTTCCATCAGGAAATACTGTGAACAACTCTAATTTCCATTGCTCACTGTACGATTGTAAAACACTCCAATGCATCTTATGCCCAATCATCCTATCCTTCCACAAGTGACTGGTGAAGCTACTGACTGCGATATCAATCTGATTCATTTTCTGCAGAAAGAATACAAGTAATTTAATACAAATCTTATGATTTTTGGTAAGACATTAGTGCATGGTTATGATGTTTGATTGCCCACTTTTTTCCCCCAAAATGATTTAAAGTCTACTTACTCAAATGAGAGTTTGTAAAGTGCTTCTGAAATGATGTGTGATTCTTCTGGAATCAGGATCTCTTTGATTTTGCAAAGAAGTATATATCCCCATCTGCATGCTGGAAGAAAACAAAACTGGCGCCAGATTCCTTCAGCACTTTCTGAAATGGATGCTCATAGCGGTGTTTCACTGGGAAGTTCCTCTCATTTGCCTTCCCTACCTGTGTATTTAGTATGAATGGTGCCCAATATGGGAGCCTGGGGAAATCATTCCCTAAAGTGTTCCTTCCCTCCCAATTAAGAACATGAGCCAGATGTGATAAGGAAATTAATTTTCAATTTGTCTTAGATTATGAGAATAATAGCCTACTCCTACAATTAAACATATTAATTTGGGTGATACATGACACTTTTGGGCTAGAATAAAACACAATCATCTAGTGTCAATTTCTTTGTTTCCAATAGTATTCTCCAAAAACATGCCCAGAGGCTTTTGAAAAGCTGCCTGCTTGGAGATCTGGCCTGAGAGTGCCCGAGAACTGGAGCATCTTGTAACAGTAGAAAAGTAAGGATGTGCTAAAACAGACAACTAATGTAATAATATGGGAAACAGAGTCCCGCGGAACATGCCAAATCAGCCTGCTGCAGACAGGCAGGTCTGCGGGATGCTGTACGAAGGTTGAGAGTCGTGAGGAACTCACCAAATCAGCCCGTGCCCCAGCAGCAATTCACTGGACACCTCCCCCCACTCCTCTGGCCTCTTCTCTGTACAGCCACCTGGTTCCACACTACAAAGATGCAGAGGACAACGGACCACCAGACCACTGTACTGGGTAAGTTGGAGTCATCTTCAGCTCCCACCAGGACCAGGTCTATCTTCAGGAGAAGGGCAGCTGGAACCTGCAATACAACTCTGTAGAGTTCAACCCTACAGGAGGATAGGGAGCTCAAATTGGGACTTGCAGCCAGAAATCTGCCTGAATCTCATGGGTCTGCCACTAGCTTGCTGAGGCTCATTGACTTATATCTGCACACTGCTACCCACATTGTCTATTGTGGCAGTAGAGACATACTCTGAAAGACGCCCTTCATCTTCATGGTTATGTTTTAGTCTCAAAATTAGTATTATTAGTTTGGTTTTTTTCTCTTTTCTTTTCTTTTGCTCCTCTTATCTTGAATTTTTTTCCTACTTTTTGTAAATATTTGTTTTGTTCATCTTCCCTTTTTGTCCCTGTTTTGGTCCTCATTCGGAGTTCTTCTTTATTTTTCTATTATTCTCTTTTTCCTTCTCACCTGTGTCCTCTGGCCACACTGATAAACTTTCCCTATCTTTCTTCTCATCTGTCCCTCCCTCCCCAACTGCTTCTAATTCCCCATCCCAAAGGGTAAAGTTGTTATATTGAAGAGTTTATATATACATCAACATATAGTGATATGTTGGATTGGTCCTTGATCTTCATTTAATTCACACAGATAAAGGTGATAGATTAATAACTACCACAAAATGTCATTTTCGAAGGTGAACTTCATGCAATAGTGTTGCTGATTGTATCACTTGTGCTAAGGTGCTGTTATTGATCTAGTCAATGAACCTTCCTAGTATAAGGAAAATGAGATAGGCTTAGAGTCATTAGAGACTCAAAACTTAAACACCAGCTGTATCTGGAAGACACCTCTAAGATGCAATCATTCCATAAGGGTTCTAATTACAAGCAACAAAGATATCTACAATAAGCAATTTCAAACTATCAACACAGGAGTTAAACCAAGGATAGTACCAAAACAAAAATGAGAAGACATTTAAGCAAGGCACAAACTCAGACTTCCACCCCACCAAGGGTAAATCCTGGGGGAAATGAGATGGAAAAATCCCATAACCAACCACCTGGATACCCTGAACTGATAGCACAGGAAGCAAGAAAACAGAGGAATG